AGAATTGTATTATTATTATTATTATATCTAATTTATATAATCCAGTTCAATAATTTGTAACACGAAGAAAAGGGACCAATCAATGTTAATAGATATCTGTTAATTATTAACTGGGAATAATATAACTAAATTAATTAAGCTATTAAGAAAACATAATCCCTTCAAATGAGGCGTCGGTTCAAAGATTAAAACATCAGTTCAAAGATTATGGGAGGCAAGTGCGTCATGTTTTAATTGTATTAAATATATTTTTTTCTTCTTATTGTCCTTGATTATTTTTCATCGAAATTCTTATCATTGACCTCCCATTAATTAACAAACGTTGTCCCTAGGGATCGTTTTCGTTCAAAAATTTTGGTAAGAGGACAAAATTTTTTATTTACCCATAACAATTTAAAATAATAAAAAACAATAAATATAAGAGCGTGAAAAATATTTACCCATTTTTTAAAGCATGCAAATAGAATTTTTGAACATAAATCGCAATTAAGGACAACATGTGCTAATTAATGAAAGATTAATAATAATGCAAAACACTTGAAGATGTTAGAAATCTTTCAAGCAATTAAAATGCATTAATTTATATAAAAATACCCTTAATTATATATATTTTTATAAATATAAAATCCAATTTTTGACCAATATTGCCCCATCCGCTGTCCATTAATCAAATATCTCTTGGAAGCTGGACTAATTAAAGACAATGTCCAACAAAGCTGGCTCTTAAATTCTACATGATTGACCTTTATCTGAATTGAGGCTGGATTTCACTAAAAATAATTATATAACTTATTTTATTACAACAAAGGACAAGGTTTTGATATGGATAAGGTATTGTTTACTTGTAATGTCACATTCCTTATCATCAAGAATTCATATAATATGATAATCAAAAGATGTGTATGTCTTACTTTCTTCATTCAAACTTGAATAATACCAGCGTTCAAAAATAATTTATTTATTAATAAAGTTAAGTAATCAGTCTATCCACGAGTAAATCGCTTTCAGTTTATTAATAATAATATGAAAAAGTATAAACAACTTGCTTTATTAATTGAAGATGATTACGTCTTCTTGAAAATGAAGTGATCCAATTATATCTGTGACAAATCACAAACCCTGTCTTCAATATACCCATCTCTATAGTTAAGATAATGACTTCGAGCATGGCCAACTGGCATGGTGATGATAGATTAAACGCACCTGATTCTTGATCACAATAACATACAAAAAGATGTATTATAGAGTAACTAGAATTAAATGCTAGAGTAACGATCTTGAGATTCACTTCTAGTAATCGAATTCTAGAGCTTGTTTGGAAGAAATATTTTCAAGTTAAAAATTATTTTCTTAGAGAATGTGTGATTAAAAAGTATTGAAAAATAACAAATTTAATAAAATGATTTGAGAGAAAATGATTTTAAAAATAATCTCTCCCAAACAAGTTCTTAGTTTTTTAATAAAATTCTTGACGATTTTCTAAAATCACATGAGGATGGTACATTAGATTTAATATCCCTTGTTACATAAAAGATCGGAATATTACATAACTTTTTTTTTTTTTTCTGAAAATACCTTCTGAATTAAAATACTAGCCGTTCAACGCATATACAAATCATTCAAGAGAAGATTTGAGCCATTTAAATGTGGGGAATTAACTAATTTAGCTTCAAAACCATGTTTCATGGCATGAAAACTGTATCCTAACTTCTTCTTCCCTGTTTTTTTTTTTGTTGAGAAAATTACTTGAATCTATGTTTTTATAGTTTTTTTTTTTTCTGATAAATGATTGTTACTTATAAAATGTGTAATTGTGATTTAGTATGTGATGTGACCTATATAAATTGTGTGGTATGTGATTGTAAAATATTTTAATTTTAATTTATTGCTCAAAATCATTTATCGGGTCACAAGTCACATATCACATTATTTTTAAAAGTTCTTTTTACATAATTTTTTTTGAAATTATATTCTTAAATTATTGTAGTTATGATTTTATTTTTTTTTTTGAAATTTTAAATCTAAAAGTTTAAACCATGTTTCACTTGTTATTTAACGAGTGGACATCCATCAATTCATAGGTGAGCAATTATTGACCTCATTTGGATCTCATTTTAATGAGATTTTTCTTCTTATCTCATTGATCTACATTTAATAAAACAATTAAAAATTCAAAAAATATATTAGCTTTGTCAGCATCTGTACAGAAATCAAACACAAATTGCTATTATTGATACAATGTCAAAAAAAAAAATGTACATGTAACATGATTGATGAAACTATGATATTCATGTCGTCTAGCAAGGGTTCATGCGGACCCCATCAACCAATTACTCAAAAAACATATTCAGTACTTTTATGTCTCGTTTGGCAAATTTCTAAATTACTTATAAAGAGAAATAGAAAAAATAATTGCATTGAATCTCACAAAATGTGGATATAATAAATGAGTAGTAATTATAAATGTGAAATTAAAATTAATATTAAAATTTGACTTTGATTTATAAACCATTTATAAATTGATTGTCAAACAAAAGCTAAGTTGGATATAATTATAATATATTTCAGGTAAATATGTAATAAAAATTATTTGTTGTCTAGAGCCCAACGTGTCAGATAAATTTTTAAGTTCTTTGCAACTGTAGAGGCTAGAGATGGCAAGTTTCTCCATCCCGTCCCAAATGGGGCAAAAAAACCCGCCCCGAACGGGTGGCGTCCTGCCCCGAACCCTTCCTGTGAAAAATTAAAAAAAAAATAAAATTATTTTGGACATTGTTTGTTTTGGACTTTTTTGTTTCGAGTGTTATATTTTGGATATTGATATAGTTAATTT